AGCAGTAACTTGGTATGCATGTATTTCATGTTAGCTTAGCTTCTTAGCCTGAGCTAGCTCTGTTTACTTCCAGTTCGGAGGCAGCAGGTCCCGCCTCGGCTCCGCCTCTTTGCCCTTATTTGGAGCAGGCGGGATTAGACTCTGACGTTGCTGTCAAGCCGTTAGTGGCCGACTCCGCCTACTAAGGGCTTCACGGCAACTCTGCAGAATCCTATGGGTGACGTCACGGACACTATGTCCATTTATATATACAGTCAATGATTCACACCAACGCAACTCCGGTTCAAGCTCCGTGCTAGAGCTTTTCAGGTTCAGAACCGGTTCTTCGGTTTAGCTCTGGCTCTTTTCACACCGCCCAGAGTCCGACTGGTGCTGCGTCATTGCGTCATCGTTTGCGTCATGACGTAACCGTTTGCGTGCCTGCTTCATAAAGCCAAACCGTGCGGATGAAATCAGTTGCATTCATTTCTTATGGCTCTATCTGCAGCTTTTCCGGAGTCATTTCTGTGGTTTAGACTATATTCTTATAAAAAAGTGTACTCGTGTCAATAAAGGTTTTTTTAAAACACAACTGCTTCCGAGGTCGGTCTTATTTCTTAAGGTGGGCTGAACCATGAGTGTGGAGTAACGTTGTATCTTTCATTTAAATGAACTGTAACCTTCACCCAGGTATGTAACAGCTGTTCTCAAATGAACAAGTGAAGTAAAGTTTAATATTTATAGTTTTATAGATTTATAATGAGTTATAATGAGAGGTGATCAACGTGAATGCTCAGGTTCCACCTTAACACGCAGACACGTTGCTTCACCATGAGCAGAAACCTTTATATATACACAGTCTATGGCAGAAACTCTGAAACTCTTGTTAAGTTTCTCCATCGTTGAGTACAAACTGGATAAAACGCGGGCTTTTTGTTGTTGTGTTGTCTCTGCCCCCGCCATGACGTAAGCGTGACGTATGCGGTGCTTTTGCTCTGGCCGGACAATTTTTTGGTGCTTGAAACGAACCGGATTCTGGAGCTAAGAGGCTGCTCCGCTGCGGTGTGAAGAGGAAAACTCGGTGCTTTTCAAGCTCCAGCTCCGAACCGGCCCTGAAACCAGGTTGGTGTGAATGAGGTACTAGAAACGGACATTATGGTGAAAAGTGGAAATGTGGAGAGAGATGACTCTTGCTCTGGGATAAATGCAATAGGCTACATGCACAGTCACTTCCGCATTCTACTCATAGCGGCCGATTCATTTCCTGTTTGAAAATGACGATCTTCTACACCCGCTGCCTACAAGAGCTTCCGAAATTAAAAATGTCAGATGTTCATCGGATTTGCCGGACGACTAAAGCCCCAGCCAGCAAACTCGATAAAGGCTTCAAATTATATGCTGCGTCATATATACACAACTATGAAGGTAAGAAGGTAACAGGTACTAACCAGCTAGCTTATGCTCCGGGTTACGCTAACATTAGCTGTCAAAAGCTAGGTAACGCCAGAGCCCTATAGTATAACTACTATTATTATTATTATACTACTACTATAGTAGACTACTATAGGGCTCTGGGTAACGCTATGTACTGTTTCTGGTGTTAATTCTTTAAAACATTAGCCATTTTGCTAACAAATACTATCGTTTAATAGCCTAGCCAAGGTTATCTTGTTGTTAGCCACACTGCATAATGGTATCAGCTTTTGTAAAGCAATGTTGCCATAGATGTGTTGACGTGAGTATAGATCTAACGCTGTTGCTCTGTTTTTCTTCATTCAGTGTCCAATAAAGACAGGCTGACAGGGCAGGTCAGCGTGAGAGCCTTGTGCTACAGGTCAATGCGGAAGAGCGAGACAGCACACAGTTTGAGTGTAGGCAGGCAGCATTGACACTGTTCCCCCCTGTTTATTGAGTTTCAGTTCAGTTAAACATTAGTTTACCTTAAGGGAATCTCAACAGTGTCCTACTTCTCCCTGCTTTATCACAGCTGATTGGTCAGATATTATTACATTGATTATGGATGTGTAAGTTTGGGGGTTCAAATATATAGTCAAAACTGCTTTAATACAATTTTCAAGGCATCTTAGTTTCCAAAGAAAGTTCATTGTGGTATTGTAGGGTAAGAGGGTAACACTAAGCATTCAGGAATACATGCTTCTTCTAGGATAATGGGTCAGTAAAAATAACCAATAATTCTACTCATAATAACCTCCTGGCTCATAGTAACAAGTGAGGTTACTAATCACTAGTATTTATTCTCTCTTTTTTAGATAACGCTTCGTGATTCATCACCAGTGGTGCTCACGCACAACCAGTGCTCCTGTGTTGCAGGAACTGTTTTGTGCAATCACACAGTAGCATTGCTGTTCCAAACAGCACACTACACTGAACTGAACATGCCAGTTGTGCCACCTGTGCATAGCTGTACTGAATCGGAACAGCAATGGCACAAGCCGCGAACAATGGTAATTTCAATGAGGTTCAAATACTTGTAATCTTTCACAGAGTTTTTGTTTTAAAGTGACTCAACGAACAGTAATTGTCTTTTCCTTAAGGGTGTGAAGCCAGGGCCCATCAACTCCATGGTCTTCACCAAGCCTGTACCAAATAGGATGGTGCAGACTGGAGTAAGGTAATTTTAGCTGGAAAATTGTGTTTCCTGTGTTTTTAAAATTAATAATTCTGGTGCTGTATTCCTAACCTTTATTGTCACATTAATGTGCTATATTGTCTTTGCCATTCTTTGTAGGAGTGGATTCTACAGAGGCATGGTGGGGCCATTACCAGATCCCTGCCTGTTCAGAGTTACGGAGGCATACTCAGCATTCAGCATTGAAGACAGGCCGCTTGTGACCACAATGAACATGAGACCTGACAAGCCCCTTGTGGAAAGTGCCTTCGGGATTGTGCAAGAGGGCAGTGTTCTGTCCTATCAGATGCCTGCTTTGACGTCTCGGTACACCACACTTCACACTGACACACCACCAACACCCCACTTGCCCATAGAGGGGTATGTGATCTTGCCATGTGATTTACCGCTGGTGTGCTCAGAAGAGGAGCAACTACATATGAACAGCTTATCTGTTGATTTGGAAATGTCTCACAAAATTGAGGAGGCTACCCGTGAGCAAAGCTCTAGCTCAGAGTGGCATCTGCTCCGCAAACCCAGGGTTACTGCCTCTAGGTTAAGAGAGATTTGTCACGTCAGAGGTGAGAGCTCTGCTAACTCTCTTGCAGAGCGAATACTCAAAGGTACAAGGCAGACTGCAGAAATGAGGAGAGGTGCCGAGATGGAGCCCACAGTAGCAGCTGAATACAGTAGACTGGCAAACGTGAACTACTCCCCTTGTGGCCTTGTCATTCACCCCTCTACGCCCTGGCTTGGTGCCTCCCCTGATGGAGTTGTTTTTGACCCAACAGAATATCCCCAATTTGGCCTTGTTGAATTCAAATGTCCCAATGTCCCAAATTATGTCGACTGCAAATATGTGCAGATGGAATGTGGCTCCCCTAAGCTCAAGAAAAGCCATGCCTATTACTGGCAAGTACAGGGTCAACTTCTTGTATCTGGGATGCAGTGGTGTGATTTTGTAGTGTGGGCACAAGAGGACTACCTGGTGCAAAGAATATACACAGATCCAGAAGTGCAAAGAGCAATCAGAGAAAAAGTAGACTTTTTTTTTTTTTACACATACATGCCGAAGTACCTGTCATTAAAAAAAGTAGTGGGCACTGTAGCCATTGTTAACTCTGTAAGCAGTTAGCTGCTAGACCCTGGCTCAGCCGTCATTGTTTTTAAGAGGCAATCCCTCAATCATGTGTTCTGAATAGTGCTGTCAAAATTATCGCGTTAACGGCGGTAATTAATTTTTTTAATTAATTGCGTTAAAATATTTAACGCATTTAATGCATGTGCAGAATGGCCCGCCCCATACGTGCCACCAGTGGCAGCGCCAGGGTATGGCTGGGGTAGGCTACACCCATACCAAGAAATCGCATAGCCTCACCATGAAAAATGATGTTAAAGTAAGCAAAATAAAGTCTGCCAACTCGCGGAGTAAATTGCACAGACAGCAGTTAGTAAGATTGATTTCAGTAGCCACGGTTTTGAAAACTTTTGTCACGTAGTGATCGTCTTCTCAATAGAACATCTTTGATAACGGCGTGGTGTTGTTGCAGGAAGTCCCGACGGAGAATACTTTTGCTGTAGTACAGGGGTGCACATAACTGGTACGCAGGTTATGTGCGTAATCTCTCTGAAATGCGTACCGTCACTTGTGTCACAAAGCGCATTTGCGTACCGACGTAGGCTACTTGTGAAACTTTTCCAGAAGGCGGTTAGATCACCGGACGGCAGAGTCGGTCTCCGTGTGCACAGACAGGGCTGCTGTTAACGTCGGTCTGTACAACGGAATTGTGCCAAAACTACGCCAACCGGCTACGGAGGGAGACTCCCCCCCTTCACTGGAGAACTGTGCTAAAACAGCTGATCACAACGTTCACACTCTGTGGTCACGAAGTACTCCACTAGCCCCCATCCCCCGTCGACTTTCCTGAAGTACCCGTTGATAGAAATCAACACGTAATGAATTAAGACCCCACGGTTTGATGATTGATAGGTGTGTGGGTTGTCTTTCATTTTGACACGCAGAAAAATGTTATAATAAACATAGATACTGTATGTTAAATGGATATATCCGCCTTCTTTCATTTATCTTTCCATTCCCACAACAATATGCATAAATAAATGGCATATGTTGGACATAGTTCGAATGGTGATTAATCATGATTAATTAATTTTTAAGCTGTGATTAATCTGATTAAAAATTGTAATCGTTTGACAGCCCTAGTTCTGAATGACAACAAAATGTGATTTCAATATTTTGTTTTTGATATATATTGTTTGTCACATTTCATATATGTAAATAAATATACAATTGTATTTAAAAAGACAATAAAGTGAAGTGATTTGTGTAATGAATAGTAAATCAGTGCATTTGTAAGAAATCCTCAACGCATTGTAATTTGCTATTTACCATTTATTCAAACAAAACACTAGCGTGTGTCAGGCAACACAGGATTACGGTGTGCTCACCCAGCTTAATCACAGCTACCTGCACAGGTGTCATCATCTTGTCTTATTTCACCCATTTCTTGACCAGTGCTTTGTTCTGATAGTTTGACAGCATACATGCTACTGCAAACAGTTGGTTGATGTTGTAGGCATGGGACAGGAGGATGACACCATCAAAAAGTTTGTTCTCTTTTATCCTCCTAATGACACGTTCCACATGAACCCTCAGTCTGGCAATGGCCTGTGTCTCCCTCGCCTGATAGGCTGGCATTTGCTTCTGCTTTGACAGAAAAGGTGGGCAGTACACCTTGCATTTGCAGCAATCGCTGATCAGGAAGCCCTTATCTACCATCACTGCCATGTTTTCAGTCAACAACGCAGCTATTCCAGACTGTTTGAAAATCTCCTTGTCGCTGACAGAACCACCATACAGACTGGAAACAAATGTCACTGCGCCATGTGGGGCTATGCCAACCAGGGCTTTCATGGTGCAGTGAGATTTGTATGTAGAATACATTTCACTTTGGAGGAGGAGTGAGGATGGTGTTTGACACCTCAGCTCTGTGCAATCCAGGATCACCTGTGTGTCTGGGAAATCTTTGAATGCCTCTGGGAGGTGGGCTTGAACTTCTGCAGGTGTAAGCCAGATGCACTGTGACCCCAATAAAGTTGTAAGAAAACTCGTCCATGTTGCAATGATGCGGCTCACAGTGGACTGGTGTACGTTGAAGCGGTTTGCAAGGTCCCTCTCTTTCAAACCCACCGACAGGAAGCAGAGAAAAAGGAAGAACTCATCAATTGGCTGAAGCAGCTGTCTCTGGAAGATAGACAAAAAAAGGGTACTATATTAATGTCATGAGTGTAGCACACCATGGGAAAAACATTAAGTTGTTTTAGTTCTCTGATGTATTCAAAAAGGATTGAGTACTATAGCCTTTTAGCCTACACGAAAGCAATGAAATGTTGGAGAAACATTTTCCCTTCAGTTTGTGTTTAGATTGTGTGTTAAAAGAAACGTAGCCTACCGTTGATGGACGTGCGTGTGTAACCACTTCTTCATTCCTCTTGGCAGCTGATATCGCTCTTGTAACACGAACCATTTTATAAATGGAAGGCTCAATCAAAAACCAGAAGGCCATCAGGTGGTTATAGCTCGGGAATCTGTACACAAAAGACACATGTCAGTCAGTAATTGACTCGTTAACTGTAACACATGGGCTAATGCTTTCCTCTTGTTTGCTATAATACATTACAATTCAAATAGACTGATTAAGAAGGCACTTGGTGCAGGTATAGTAATATACGGCAGTAACATGTAACAACTACATTAAAGCAGCAGTAATAATAATCTAAAACATACAGGGAACATTTTACACAGAATGACTACTTTTACTCTTCATTCTTAAGTGTGCAACTGGGGGACACGCAGTGGATATTGACATGTTCTTTTACTTTGGTAAGGTTTTGAAGATTTCCACTTGTAGTAAAGTATTATCAGTATGTTGTTAGTATTAGTATGTTTTACTCCACCACATTTAGTTAACCTTCATAGTTTCTAGTTACTTATGAAAACACATGATTTATGATTCTACATGTTCAGTTCAGGAGTATTTTCAAACCATAGTATTTGTACTTATACTTCAGTTAAGTTGAGTAGCCTACTTATTCCAACACTGCATGCAAATAGTCAGCAGTCAAACGGCAGGTAAACAGGATTCTTTATAAGCTAACCCATCTCAAAAACGTGGATAGAATTTAGCCAAAACATTACCTGGTATAGAATCGGATGTTGTCGTCGGAGCCAGCAAACCGCTGTAAGCAAAACTCTCGCTGGACTCTTAACTCCTGCAGTTGCTTCTGCAGATCCTCCAATGTTTTGGAGTTGTCTTCTGTAGCTTGAGAGGACATGTCCAGTGAAGCTGGTTCAGGGGTTGAGCAGTAATCATGGTCACGGACATCGATGTGCTCTTCCTGCTCCTCCCGAGAGACTGGTTCAGTGGGCCGCTCCCTTCTCTCCCAAACACTAGCCCGCGGTGTTTGAGCAGTGAAGTGATTCCACTCAAACAGAGTTGGGACAGCACCTTTCACAAGCCTCCTACGGCCATCAAGGGGTTTTGGCTCTATTAGTTGATCCGTAGCGAAGTGACGACTGCAGACCTTGGAGTGAGAGGAGATTGTAAAGTTATCGCGTCGTATTTTAACCAGCCACTGTCTTCGCAGCTCGAGTTCGGTCGGAAAGCCATGGAAACTTAGGACGCCGTTGAATTTAGCTGACGCCGTACAAAGTGGGACACAGCAGTGCTCGGAGTAGTTCTTTACTTGTCTTTGCAAATGCTCCGTTTTGAAAATCTTCCGTCGACTCATATTTAAACCACAGATTTAAACAGTAAAACATTTGTGGACGCTCAGCTACGCAGACCAGAAGCAACCCGGAAGCGTCCGAGCAGTATAACGGCTAAGGCGGAAGTACGTCTCAGACCCTAGTGCATGTAGCCTATTGTTTTCACTGAATGCGTTTCTCACACACACATCACTCTCTCTTGAACCCGCAGTGTTTTGACAGCACTTCGGTTTATTCCACTCACGTGCACGCGCCCACCTGCTGGCTCCTATACTGGAGTTTACAGAGGGGGCGGGGAGTGTGGGACAGTGTTATTTCCTCTGGGGATGAGCAAGAAGCAGCCACGCTGCGACTACTCCTCACCCACGTAACCAAGGAGATCGATCCAAAGAGCCCTTCCGTAAACACGGGGGCTCCCGGCCCGGGAGATCAACAACACGGTCCTTTTGGAAAGTGCCATGCGGCGTGATCCCTCACCGGGATATCACACGGCAGACAACGGCGGCGGCCACGATCAAGCTGGGGGCATCTCCAGCAATGAGCGAGATGCCCAACACACCCGTGTTTATTTGCAGTCGCCTTGTCACGCGGTAGCGTGGCAGAGCTGTTTTCAGCTCCCTGCCCAGCCTGCTGCCCGCTGGGAGCAGCTGCGCTCCGCCGCCATGGTCATCACCTAGGGCGGTGGACCTCCATGGACCGGACCCGGAAGTGCCCGACAACGGCAAATGGAGCAATCCGCCCCGCTGGAATGGCGACGTGAATGGCACCGCCTCTGCCATATCCTGGTCCCCCAAATACTCTAAGCAGAGGTGGTGGAGACCAGCGCCCGCGATCAAACCAGGGCAGGTGCATGGCCGAGCTTCCAGTAATGGTGAGTCAATTTTTCCTTCTAATCTTCTAATCTTCGTTCGTTTAACTCTTCGGTTGTCAGCTCGTCTGAAGAGAAAAAGGATAGTGGGCGGCGGGTGTAGCCGCCTTTATATACTGTGGGCCTGCGCGCGCATTCAGGTAGACTCGACCCGATTGGCCGGCTACGTTTACGTAAACTCAGTAGGTGAAAGCACGCACAGCATGATAGAGAGTAGTATCCATAGAGTCCAGTAGAGGGCGGAGCCTGTGTGAAATATAACCAGTTGGTTCAAAAACAGTCTACTGTATCCACATTTTAGACAGTCCATATTAATCCTCTCAGTAATATCCTACAGGAACAGGAATAGGATGAACCATGTACGTCCCAAACACCTGTGGAGATGGCCAGGGCACATTGTATTGTCCATATGCTGGTTCAAGAGCATTAACATAAAGTGGGTTTATGTGAAGCCTTACCAAACGATGAACAGGATGACCCAATGTCTCATAAGTCAGTGTTTCTCTGGGTCGTTTCTCTCTCTGTGGTTGTGTGTCAAAAGGGTCATTTTCTTGAACATTTGGCAGGTCTGCAGGCTGAACAGTTTGTGTTAGCTCTTGAGTGTCACTAGTGTTATTGTCCATAAACATCTGCACAGGATTCTCCATTCTGAACTCCTCTGCGTCAACGTCTAGTTGAGGCTGATGTGTTGTGTTACGGAGCGTCCAAACTACAGCTTCAAAAAAAGCTTGGAGCTGGGCGTGTCTGAAGCTTGGGGATTTTATTCGAGCAACGCGACCAACAACCAATCACATGAATCTCCCGCCCCCGACATACAAAGCAAAAAACCCCGGGGATTTTATGCGAGCAATATATATATATATAAACTCCCCAAACAGGCGAAAACCTACCAGTTTCACCCACTGTCTCTGTCACCTCCCTCCATGACTGGTTCTTCCGGTTTGTATCCCGGTAGGTGAAGAGGGTCTGGTCATACAAAACCTGGTGATTTGCTACGGCGATAATTAGTTTCTCCTCCATCTTTTATTTGAAATATAGAAATGAATGGCGGGATATCTCTCCCAGCTTAGACGCGGTTTGATTGGCTAGGGCAGGGGTGGCCAACCCGCGGCTCTCGAGCCGCATGCGGCTCTTTGCCTAGTTTCATGCGGCTCTTCAGTTCATATCGAATTGTATATGTGTGAGTTTGGGGGAGAGACATTGACTCCTGACCAGTGTTGCACGGTGTACCGATACTTGAAAGGTACCGCGATACCCTGCCTTTAAAAACGTTACGATTCCGCCGTTTCATTAGTATCGGTACTTTAAGAATGACTGGGAAAAGTACTCCGGTGAGAAAGCGCCGTTTTAATAAGAGCCGTGTGTGTTCAGCGCTCTGCTTCCACTCCCTGCACTGCAGCCTTGCCTGCAGTCCCTCCCTCTCAAGCACGCTCTAAGTCCCTCCCCTCTCAAGCACGCTCTAAGTCCCTCCCCTCTCAAGCACGCTCTAAGTGCCTCCCCTCTCTCGTGCACGCGCTAGCTGCCAGAGCATGTGAGAAAACGAGAAGCATGGCTGCAAGTGGGAGTGCAACTGCCGCTGCGCCTCGGCTTGTTGACAAAAAAGACGCCAGAAGCGACATTTGGAAGTATTTGAGCTATATCTCTGACAGTGAGGGCAAGCCTACGGACACCACGAGGCCTGTCTGTGAGACATGTATTAATTTTATTTAATACGAATTCTTGTCATTTATTTTATTTATTGTTCTCATTGTTTAAAAGTGTGTGTTATGGTTATGGTTCTGGTGTGAAATAAAGCACAATAATTACATTTAAGACTGTTTCCCTTTTTTTAAGAAAAGTATAAAAAAAGAATCGGAATCGCAATTCTTGACTTGGTATCGAAACCAAAATGTTGGTACCGTGACAACACTAGCTACTCCTGACAGTTAAACCTGATATTTAGTAGGTCTGTTAAGTATTGAATGCTGATAATTCTGACGTAATTTGGCCGGTCAAAGTTGTTTGGGCTCGGATAAAATCGCTCCGTTACTTTCGTCCCGTGTTACTTTCGTCCCGGCTCTCCCTATGTGTGTATGTGTGGTGTCAGGTGTCAGTATGAGAGGATGACAGCGCGTCTAATTTTGATGTGACCCAAGAGCCAATCACAATAATACCTGCGATGCAGTGAACCAATCACCTTTGAGGGGGGGAAAACCTATCGTTGATTAAACACTATCCAGTGTTTCCCCTACCATTGTGTTGGAGGGGCGCTGCGCCCCGCCAACGGAGCCCCGCGCCCCCCCCCTGAAATTCAAGGTGTTTCAAAAATATATATAATATATATTTTTTAAATATATATATAGCACCAAATTGCAAATAATCTATAACTACTGTCACTTTTCACATTGAACATGTGCTCTTTATTAAATAAACTAACGCTTTCATTTTAAGTTATGAGTTTAGTGTTTTTGACCCTAAGAAACACTGATGCAATAATCAATAACAATAATCCACAGCTCCTCTCTCTGCTCCAGAGGATTTAAAAAATATATATCCCAATGCCACAAAGATGCATCAGTGACGTGGTTGAAATCTTGTCTCCAGAAAACAAAAAACTGAAACAAGCGTTATCAGTGACTGTGTGTTTGATGTGGCTCTTTGCAGTAACATAGAAAAAATGTGGCTCTTAACCTCTGACTGGTTGGCCACCCCTGGGCTAGGGCTTGAGCTGTCAGATTTTCAGAAACGGGATTTGATTGGCTGGCGCTGGCTACTCCGGCGTCTCCGGCGTCAGAAGTTGAACATTGTTCAACTTCTGACGCACCTGACTCCTCCCTGAGCATTTGTTTAATGAATGTTTGTTGTTCACTTGTCAGGTGGTTCATATTAACAGGTGGATTCCACAGTTTCCCTTGGCCATCACTCTGACACTTTTCTGTGGTTGGGTTGGGTGGAGTTTGACAATTTTCAACTACCACCGAGCTAACCTGATGTTCCTCTGAGTAAACAGGGTAGAAGTCTGTTATTCTTTGTATGCTCCCTATCACAATTTTACCTGGCACTGTGATGTCACGATGAGTGGTGTTGCTCACGTAGATGTTCACTTTGCGAGCAGAGCAAGATACATTTATCAACTGACAGGTTATTTTGAGTCCCTCCTCTAGCGAGAGGTTCTCGTCAGGTTCAAACAGCATTTCGGTTTTAACTTTAAGTTTGGTTCCGACAGAGCAGGTAATGCACTGCATTTGCCTCCCTGGAACTACCACAGATGTATGCCCTGTCCTGACTGGGTGGGTGGGTAACATCCTGATGTGTAGCTCCCTGAATGAGGTTGAGTAGTGCTTCTGCCTTTGTTGTCCCCAGCCTTAGTGAGTTTCTGAGCAGAGCTATTCGTTCACCAAGTTTACTCTGGTCCTCCTCTCCCCCTTTCAAAATCTCCTCAATAGCATTACAACCTATTATGGGTCTCTGTGCAATGTCCCTGCTCACTATTGGAACTAGAATCTCATCAGAACATGCTGTTTTAGCTTTTGGATCACATAGGCTAAGACTAACCTCAACCCAACCCTGAAAAAGGATTTCAGAGCCATTGGCCGCTCTCAAGTCCAGCAGTTCATTTTCACTCAGAAGGTCACTGATAGGATGGATTGTCAAATCAGGTAAGTTCTGGGACTTCCATGCTTCACTCACGATGGATACCTGTGTACCTGTGTCCCACAGTGCTTGAGCCTTGATGTTATTTATTTTAAACCAAGCAAGACATTTTCTGCCTATCAGCTGTGCAACTCTCTTGCGTTTCATGCAAAGGTTGTGTGAGTTAGCTGGTAGGTCACCATGTTTCATATTCGGTTTCAAGGGTACTGAAGTGTGGCTGGTGAGGTGAATGTTTTTGTCCTCCTGCCTTCCTTGTGAGCTTTTGGGCTTAACTGGTGAGGTATGATTAGGACGTGGATCATTGTGGGACTTGGATTCTAAGGTCATGACATGTCCCTCAGTCACAGCCTCTGCCAGTTTCCCTGCGGCTTCTGTTTTTCTCCAACTCTGCAGCCTTTTGCCCAATATGTTTCACTGCCACACCGGAAACAATGGTTGCAGTCTTTGTCTTGCTGACATGCGATGCATCTTCTTCTTGGTCTCTTAACAGCATTTGCAGGGGTTTTATATTGAAAATCATCATTTTTCCTCTGATGCTCAACAGTTTGCAAGAGTGAAGCTACTTGTCCTGTAAGCTCTCCGATTGCTGTATTGCTCTCTTCTATTTTTGTAAATAGTTATCTTTTGTTGGTTTGCTAGTTTTAGCAGATTTGGGAGTTGTTAAGGGGATGCTTTCATCCTCACACTGCTCTACTGAGTTCAAACCTGCTCTATGACTGGCTTTAGTTGTAGCTTTCATCTTTTGTGCCCGCTCATTTTCATTATATTGAGCATTTTCTGCAGCAGTAACTCATCTGTACTGTTCTCGTCTTGCAGATACATTCTCATCTCTGCTATTATGTTGTCATTGCACAGGCCTGTCATAATAGACTGAAAACACTGACTTTGGACTAGCTCTTTGTTATATCTCAGGCCAGACTGGGCACGTTCAGATGCAAACAGGACTTTTTGGCACACATCCAACAGTCGGATGAGAAAATCAAGTGATGTTTCACTGAGTCCCTGCAAAGCTATTGTTAGTTGCTGGTAAAGCACAGTTGCATCCTTTTCTGCATAGTGGGCTCTCAATATTTGTCTTAGAGTGGATAGGGTGAGATCAGTTTTTCCCTCTAAGTAACTCCTTAGCTTCAATCTTGGCCTCACAGCACGAATAACTGCTTCCATAATTTCTATTTCAGGATAACTTTTCCTTAACCCACTGTCAATCTGGTGCACAAGG